AGCTCACAGAGCAAAGAAATGGAGAAGCGCCGGAGATAGAGATCTGTTCCCGGAGCTTCTTCATTCTCCGCGTTCAAGAAGGAACTTTCTCTTCCCCTACAAATAAAACTCTCGTAAGTTCTTCGACCTCAATCTTTCTTCCTCTCTCGAAATCTCAATCGCATCTAATAGATCCGAATTCTGTTGGGTTTTTTCTCGAGAATTGTTGGTTTGTAGGTAGAACAAATAGAGAGGATTTAGGTTTTACAGAGTTCGTTCACCAACTTGAATACTGTTAATGGCGAAAAAAACCCCAATACGAGAGACGGATTTGTATGTAGAATCTTATTAAGCTCTTATCGTTTACGTCTGCAGATTCACTCGAGAAATGGACACTCTCGCCACGGATCCAAGTTTCATTGATTCGGATGTATACCTCAGATTAGGGCTTATTGTAGAGGGCAAACGATTGAAAAAGTTTCCCACAGTTCTGTCTCGTCTCGCTTCTTCTCTGGAGAGATCTGTGTTGACTGATGATGATGAATTGATTGAGTCTCTAGAGATGGAAGACTCTGTGACGGTGTTTGATGGAAGATCTCCTCCAGAGATCAGCATTGGACACTACTTGGATCGCATCTTCAAGTATTCTGGCTGCAGCCCTTCTTGCTTTGTCATTGCACATATCTACATTCATCAGTTTCTACAGAGGACCCGAGCTCATCTCAAACCGCTTAATGTTCACCGTCTTATCATAACGAGTGTCATGTTAGCCGCTAAAGTCTTCGACGACAGGTATGTCACTAGTCCTAGCTTCTGTTTGTTAGTATGAATATATACGGATATTGCCACTGTGAACACAAGCAACATGTAAGGAGGATTCATCGATTTGACTAGACACTGGAGTTCTCAATGTTTTGTTTTTTCACAATTGCTTAACCTTTTAGGATTATGTTCATTCTAGTAGACTAGTAACACTCGCACTTGATTGGATACCAGTGCACGTTATTTACCATTCGGTATGAAATTGCAAATACATCAACACACAAGAAGACAATTAGGAAACAGAGTCATTCACAATTTGTCTTTGCAGCTTTAAGTTATTTATAGTTGATGCCACGTTTCATGGAAACATATATTCATTGATCTCTGTTGTTGTGTAGGTATTTCAACAATGCATACTACGCGAGAGTTGGAGGTGTGAGCACGAGAGAGTTGAACAGATTGGAGATGAAGTTGTTGTTCACCCTTGACTTCAAGCTTCAGGTAGATCCTCAGACGTTTCACACACACTGTTGCGAGTTAGAGAAACAGAACAGCGACGGGTTCCAGATCGAGTGGCCAATAAAAGAAGCATGCCGAACCAACAAAGAGACTTGGCGGAAGAGGACACCAGAGTCAGTCTGCTCTCAAACGACAGCACGCTGATCCGCAACTCACGAGGCATGGGTAAGATAGGATTTTGTGTTTCGGTAGTGATGATTCTTTTGCAAGATTGATTGCTGTGACAATTGTGTAGTAGAAAATCCGTAATGTCTTACGAACTGATAGTCTTTAAGAAGTTTATATATAGTGTCCATCGATAAGTAAACTTAAGTAGATTCATTTTACATCACACGGCAACGATTCCCTCCGCTGCTACAATTCACATAAGCAACCGGAGGTTCCACCAGTTTGCTATTACAAGGAGCATCGCTAAACTCGGGCGGTATTGAATACGGTGGTTCAGCAGGAGCCGCAACCACCTCAACATTACCACAATGATCCGAACTGTTGGCTTCTCCACCACCGCTGCCCTTAGAGTCAGCGGACGGTGGTGCGATAGGAGACGGTGAGTCCCGTGAGTGGTCGGCGCCGGGATCATCATGGGGCTCCTTAAACGTAATTTTGGTGACCCTCTTGTCAATGATCTCCAAATGTTTGATCCCACGAGGTTTTTTATCAACCAAGTCCTGGATATATACTGTGTGGTCAAAGCTGCTGACCTGGACCTGACATCCGCTGGCCAGGTCTGTTGATGACATGGCGAGCGAAGGAGGAGCAGTTGGCATCGGAATGCTTTCAGAAGATTCCGGTTTAGGAGGAGTCGGCATCGGAATGTTTTCAGAAGATTCCGGTTTAGGAGGAGTCGGCGTCGGAATGTTTTCAGAAGACTCTGGTTCAGGATCCCACAAAAGCTCTGCTCTTTTGCCGGCTTTAGCTGCCATTTCTATAAGCACTTGTGGGTCGATCTCGCTCGTCACTTCTATCGTCCCTTCCTTTGCATTTACCTTTATCGACTGCACTCCTATAATCAATTAATCCAAGATTGCTAATAAATTTCAAACTGACTAAACAAGATATTAACTATATGATATAACAGAAACCTTCAACTTTTAGCATGGCTCGTTCCACCTTCTTCACACACTTGGTACAGCAGCTGGGTTCCAGTTTCAGGACACGAGTCTGTTGTATAAGTTCAAATAAATATACTGATTTACCATGTCAATAAGGCCTTGATTGGTATGTCTTATAGTAGAGCAGTAGTATGAAACAGCATTAGCAGTATGCTGCAGGAGCTGTATGCTCTGATTAATATGTATAAGTGATTGACAGAGCTGTGAAGAACTAGATATAAAATTAAATAAATTATTTCATTATATTTATTTATATGTATTATAATACATNATATATATANTAGTCATAAGNTATAACAACATTTTTATTCAATTATTCTTTTATTAAATTATTATTTTATTATAATACTATTTAACAAATAGAAAAATAANCTANTGTTAAATATTAGNTTTTANTTTTAATATAAATATATTTATAAAATTATAACATAATTTTTTTAATCATATTTTCAAATTTAAATTATATTTAACTAAATTTTATTATTTTATTTTGATATTATTTTAAAATAATAAAACCAATAAAATAATGATAACTATTAAATAAAATAAATAAAAGTTAATATAATTTATTTTGATCTTATATATAAAGATTAGTTATTTAATATTTTTTAAAATATTTTTTAATAATAGCATATGTCAAAGCTCAGGAAAAACTCTATTTAGAAACATTGAAGGTAAGAGCATTTAGAAAGCATTAGCATTTACTAAACGTTCTGCTTAACGCTTTGTCTACTAATCAAGTTTTAATGATAAAGAGCATGATGCTCATTTAAATGTTTTGCCAATCAAGATTTAAGATAATATATGATCAATATGTAACTAAAACAATTCATGGGTCAAAGTTAAATAAAAAACGAACCCGATGGACTGGGGGATGACTTGGGTGTGGATGATCTTCCATTGTTAGCAAAAAAATTGTATTAAGAAGACACAACAAACGACATAACAGAACCGTGTTACGTGAGTTTATGTACGCAAATGTGTACTTACAGCTTAAAAGCGCGCATATGTTCGAGATTTTCCTTACTGATCAATGATCATGCGAAAGTATTAATTTCTTGGGATTTTATTAGATATGTTTGAATTTATTAAGCGCATGCAGGCTTAGTATTAACTTCGAATGAACAAAAATTTAAAGTTACTTATCTGAAAAAAAATAAAAAAAATTCCTAAGGTCATGTTGTGAAAACAAAAACATTTAAATAGACCCTCCTGCACAACACAACCTTGGATAGTTTCCACATCAATTCTGAATTTCAATTCCAAAGGATTTTAGGATGATCATTAGATACTTCTGATAAAAGTCACACTTGATGTAAAAAATATTCGGTTGAATAAAATTTTACATTTATTACAAAAAAAAAAATTATCATTTCGCAAGGTTTGGGATAATTGCAAAAATGCTATTTTTGGTATGTACATTTGCAAAAATACAATTTAGAAGTGTTCATTTGCAAAAATGCCACTAATTATGGATTTTTAGAACATAAATCTTAAAAAATAATTAGCATGTATATTATGTTTTGTACTTATAATAA